CCTGCTGCCAGGCCGTGGGGTGACCCTCGCCGTGCCCCCCAGGGTGAAGCGGTGCTGTCAGGAGGCGATGGGTCCCCCAGCTCGGGTACCATAACCGGGGCCGGAGGCAGCATCCTCTCCTGCATCCCCGAGCACATCGGGGGGTCCCTGAGCTCCCTCCGGCCGCCGGGCACCGGCATCTAGCACGGGTGGGATTCATGCACGGGCCTGGCCGCTGGTGACCTCTTAGGTCTGCCCTCTTAGGTCTGCCCTACGGCTTCGGGATCTGTTCTTCAGGGAAGCAAAACTCATTCAGAGCCGCTCAGCCCATCCTGCTCGGCCGCGGAGCAAACCCACCGCCGTGGAGCCACCACTCGCGCCTCCTGAGACACGTCATGGACTCTAACAACAAGCAGCTCGTGCGTGTGGTCCCTTTGCAAGATGAAACACGTAGCGGCATCACCACTGGATAAGCTTTCGGAAGTCCTGGCTTGTTACTTAAGCGAGGCCAGGCTGCCTGTTGTGATTTTTGGGCACGCATGTCCCCGCTTCCTCTCCTGAGTGGTCCTTACGTTGACCAACAGCTTGTGGGTCCTGAGAGCTGTGCTCCTGGGGATGTTCTCCCTTGAGCTCCAAGCAACAGCCACTGATCCAGACCGACCCAGCGGGGTGTATTTTGGAGCTGCCGGGAAGGAGCTGTCATCTTTGAAGCTACCCCTGAGCAGATGACTGACAAAGTAATGAACGGGAGGGTGCCCCTGCCTGAAAAAGCCTTGTCCGAGGGGTACGCCCGGCTGCGGTACCGGGACACCTCTCTGCTCATCTGGCAGCAGCAGCAGCAGAAACTGGAGTCGGCCCCCCCCAACACTTACCTGAGCCGGAGTCGGAGCATGTGGTACTCGCAGTACGGCAACGAAGCCATCCTGGTGCGGGACAAAAACAAGCTGGATGTCTCCAGGGACACGGGGCAATCTAAGTTCTGTGCTATTATGTAATTTCGGTGGCTTTGCATTAGAAATCCAGACGTAGAGACAAACCAGACTTGCATCACGCTGGGGGAGATGGGTTTGCATCGTCCTTGCGACAAACCTGCGGCTAAGGCAGTGGGTACGGGAGAGGCCGGAAAGGCTCTCTGAAGTTTATGTTTGTTTTCACTGTTGGTAGCATCAGATTTTGCTTGTTGTTGAGTGTGTGTAACGAAAACTGTCTCCCTCAGGAACTCACGAGCCTGTCTTTGCTGCCTGGCATCTTGGCAGGGTCCACGCTGGACCACGTGTTGCTTGGAAGTGGCTTGTGTGCCGTGAGGAGCACCCGCTGCCGCCCGGGAGCCGTCCCCTGCGGGCATGTTCACTGGCTAGCCCGTACGCATTGCCAAAGCTCTGCGATGCTGGCGGGAGGGAGGCGAGCGCAGATCTTCCATCGAGGTTAAGATTTTAGGGAGGGGATTTGCAACTACCTGGCCATTACCTGTTCTGCTTGCTCTGTCTCCCTTTAATTACTGCCCTGGAAATCTCTTACAACCAGGCAATGAAGTGATTTATCGTGGCGCGCCACGGTTTGATCCTGTGCAAAGCCAAGGGCCCTTTCTGATGCCGCAGGACTTCTGGAGTTGGCGGAGCCGGCTCCCTTCACGCAGGTAGATTCCCAGCCCACGCTTCAGAACAGATCACCCAAGCGAGGGACGGGCCCAGGAGAGCAGCAGGAAGAAAGCTCCTGTAAATACACACATCTCCTGCTAAGGGACATAAGGAAACAGAAGTACATACCTGCCCCCAGAGATCAGTTTAGAAGAAAACAGTTTACTGACGTTTGCTTTGTGTTTAAGTTTTCGTGCACGCAGTAGCTTGGAAGGGTTTTTCTTCTAATTTGGGTTGGAGAGTAGCTTTGGTGCATGTATTTCAAAAGTGGTGTCTGGGAGCGGTTGTTTCAACTAACTGAAGGGTTTTAGGAGGGAAAAAAATACTTGGGAATAGTTGCAGTTCTTGGGAATAGAGACTGCTTCCAGGTTGTTTCCATTAGAGCCGAATCGCTAACTTGGGCAAGGCAAGATCAAGCTGAGAAACTCAACCCAGCAAGCACCTAGCTCTGTATTAAACTCAAAGCAGTACCACTTCCAAGGGGTGCTGATTCCGTGCCCAGGGTTCAGCACTAACATTGGGCTTAAGTCATAGATTCCCTTTAGGTCCTGCCTAGGACGTCCTCCCGCAGCCCTGCGTGCCTAATCCAGCCGTGCTTAGGTGTAGGCTTAACTTCCAGCAAATCAGTATTTGATGTTGACTTCAGTATTGATTATTTACCTGCCTAAAATGAGGCACAGTCATTACTTCCACTATATTTATTTGAAACCTCTTTTGCATTTTTTCAAGCACTTTATTTATTTTTCCTTAATACAGTGAAGAAGAATCTCTTCCAGCTCTCCCGTGCAGGTTAAATGCTACAACTCAATTTTGCTAAACCCAGTGCACTGAGCAGAACTTACCTGTTTTAACGGGAGATCGTAGAGTTTTGGGGTACTCGGCCCCGATCCGTAGCATGTGTATGCACTGCAAACCAGAGGCAGCTCATTTTTTTTTATTTTTTTTTTGAAGTACTACGTATGCATGTGTCAGTGTGTGGTACCTTACGTGTGTGCTCGTGAAACTAAACCTGCTGACAGACCTCCGTGCTTCGCCACCCTGCGCATCGCTCCGCACACGGCAACGGTCCTCTTCATCCTGCCAGGATTAGCTCTGGCTGAGAAATATTTTGGGGAATAAATGTTTTTCAACTGGGGGAAAAAAGCATTTGATGAGATTCACAACACTAGCGAGAGTCAGAAAGCTGCCGGCGGCGGTGCCCCTGTCCCAAAGGGGCTGCTGCAGGCAGAGCATGGCATGGGATGCTCCCGCTCCCGGCTGATTAGGTGTAGGGATGGGCAGGGGGCTGCCCTGGGAAGGGCGGGGGGAAGGGACCCGCAGAGGTGGTTCAGGGCCTTTCCAGCAGCCCAGGGGAGCATGCAAACTCCGGGTGTTTAAGGAACAGCACATCCCCCAAACCAGCTGTTCATTTTCTTTACTTTTCTTATAGAAAAACCACTTTTTTTTTTTTTTTTAAATTTCAGTAAGAAAGTTGATTATTTTGGGTATAATCAGTCTCTTTTGGTTTATGTGGCTGGTAAACCAAAATTGTAAGAGTGTTAATTGGGCCATAGAAGAACAGAAACTCAAGTACGTGCATGAGCTCTTCCAGGGCTGAGGCTGGATGTGACAGCAGAGAAGCGTGTGACTTGTTCTTCCATCTCTCCGTGAACGTGACCGCACCATTTTCCGTGTCCTTGTTAGTCACAGCGGGTTTGGGGGGTGGCTGCTACGAGCGAGCATTTCTGTGAGCCAGGGGCGTAGTGTCACTGCACTCGTTTGAAATGCTGTTGGAGCCTCTTTGATAAAGTGCATTAAAGTGATGTGAATGCACCACCGTGAGCAGCTGGTTTTCTTCTGCATGTCCATCACTTCGGCGCCCATAAGGGCTACAGCTCTTATTGCTCCCAATCCCCACCCAGGCAGAGGAGGGAAAGCTCAGCAGAGAGGCAGCTTCTCCCATTTGGGAACTGCCTTAGTTACTGGTGGGGCTGTGGGTC